CATCCATGCATGTGTAGGGCTGTGAACCGCAGTGGGCTCTATATCCTGTTTGGAGCCTGTGTACCAAATCCAGCCTTCTTCCACCCACTCTGCCCCTGATGATCAACATCAGAGCAAGTGCAGCTTAAAATCCAAAATGTCCAAAACTGGGACAGCTGGGTTTGCACATGCTGTTTGTTCTCTCTCGTGCTTTCTCTTTCGTGCTTTCTCTCTCTCTCTCTCTCTCTCTCTCTCTCTCTCTCTCTCTCTCATGGATTTTTCTGCCTGGTCTGGCTTCTAATCACAATTCTCAGATTTTAGCCTCCTGAATAACTAAGGGTTACAGGCATGAGGTAAGGGCATCTACTCCAAAGGCATATACTTCATCTCTCTTGTAGCATAGGCTTCCATTCTCAGCTTAGGGGAGAGCCACTGATTTCCATTCTGTTGTTCATCAGATTTTTGCTTTTTAAAATTATTATTATAAAGGTGATATACAGAGGGGTTACAATTACATGTAGGTAAGGAATGCATTTCTTTTTTGACAGTATCACCCCTTCCCTTGCTTTCTCACAGTTTTTCCCCCCTCATTAGATTTATTTTTATGCTTATGGAGCTTGACCTCTGGGCCTGGGTGCTGTCCCTGGACTCTTTTTGTCCAAGGCTAGCATTCTACCACTTTGAGCCACTGTGCCAATTTTGGTAGTTAATTAGGGATAAGAGTCTCACAGACTTTCCTGCTCAGGCTGGCTTTGAACCATGATCCTCAGATCTCAGCCTCCCGAGTAGCTAGGCTTACAGGCATGAACCACCATTGCCCAACCCAGATTTTTTTATTTTATTTATTTATTTTTTGGGTCCGGTCGTGGGGCCTGAACTCTGGGCCTGGGCAATGTCCCTCAGCTCTTCAGTTCAAGGCTAGCACTCTACCACTGGAGCCACAGCACCACTTCTGGCTTTTTTCTTTTTGTTTATGTGGTACTGAGGAATCGAACCCAGGGCCTCAAGCATGCAAGCCAAGCACTCTACCGCTGAGCCACCTTCCCAGCCCCCCAGCCCAGATTTTTTTAAACAAGAAGTTTGCACATCTCTAGTAATGCTCTCAATTTTATCACTATAAACACTTGCACTTCTCACCAAATTGTATTTGAATCTCTCTTGTCTGATGAACATAAACCAAGCAACTCAAGAACAGCAATGGGAAGAAGGAATACAGTGAAAGATGAAACAGCTTACACTAAGCAAAAGGAAAGAAATGTACACATCACCCAATTTGGAAGAAATAGTTGAAGTATCAAAGTTTATAGAATCCACAAACTTTATACACTATGATAATGACAATTTGCCTTGTGAAGATTAAAATGTGTTTTTGACTTTAACTAAGTATCACTATCTCCCAGTATTGTGACATTTATGTAATCAATCTCAATAAAAAATTTAAAAAAGAATCTCTCTTGTTAACTAATTGTTTTCCTAAAGCCTAGAGAATGCCCAGCACACAGTAGGCATTTCATGTGCATCGTTGACTATAAATAATACTCTAATATCCTTCTATTTGAAAAATTCTTGGCTTATTTTAGTACTGGGGATGGAACGCAAGGCCGCCTCTACATGCTAGGAAAGCACTCCATCACTTAAGCAACATTCCCCAACCCTTTTTATTCATACACGTGCACACACACATGCACATGCATGGGTGCATGTGTGTGTGTGTGTGTGTGTGTGTGTGTGTGTATGAATGCACTCATGCTGGTATTAGGGTTGAACTCAGGGCCTGGACACTGTTTCTTGGTTTTTTCACTCAAGGTTGGTATTGTACCACATAAGCCACAGCTCTATTTCTGGCTTTTTAGTAGTAAATTGGAGATGAGTCTCAGACTTTCCTGCTCAGGCTGGCTTCAAACCATGGTCCTCAGGTCTCAGCCTTCTGAGTAGGTAGGATTGAATGTATGAGCCACTAGTGCCTGACCCTGCATTTTAATTTTGAAACAGGGTCTCACTAATTTGCTGAGGCTGGTAAACTCATGATCTTCTTGTTCTACCTCCTAAATAGCTGAGATTACAGGTTGCACCACACAGCTCTCCTGGTTTTTGTAGTTTATTCTTGAATAAAGGAAGAGGGATATGAGAAAGAAGACTTTAAAATTTTCTTAAGACCTCTCATTTTTTAAGAACTCCACATTAACTATCAGAAGACAAAAGGGAAGAAGGGAAGAAGAGATTCCATTTTCTTTAAAAAAAAAAAAAAGAAAGAAAGGGGAAAAAAAGGTGCCAGGCACCAATAGTGACTCACACCTGTAATCCTAGCTACTCAGGAGGCTGAGATCTGAGGATCACAGTTCAAAGCCAGCCCAGGCAGGAAAGTCTGTGAGGCTCTTATCCCTAATTAACCACCAAAAAACTAGAAGTGGCACTGTGGCTCAAGTGGTAGAGCACTAGCCTTGAGCTGAAGAGTGCAGGGACAGTGTCCAATCCCAGAGTTCAAGCCTCATGACCAACAATGTTGTCAGACACTTTGTATATACTAGTTTGTAGAATGGGAACTTCTGTGTACAACTACTTAAAGATAATAAAAAATTTAAAAAGGTGATGATATGAAAATATAATGTATAAAAGAACTCCAAATAGCCAAGGAGCTCATGTAGACTAATAGCCAGAGAAATTAAAATTTAAAAACAGTATTTTTTCTGACGGCAAACATTTTAAAAATAGATAATACTGTTATCAAGGATTTAAGGAATAGGGCACTTTAAAATACTGTTTGTAGTACTTCAATATATTATGTAAACTAAATTGGTAGTATATTTTAAGGCTTCAGCTCTGTCTATGTTTGTAGCATCATTGTTTTGGTGGTACTAGGATTTAAACATAGAACACCATGCTCTTGTCTGTTCATCTGGTGCTGTACCACTTAGCCATGCCTCCAGGTGACATTTTTGTTACATATTTTGGAGAAGGCGCATCAAGGATTTTTGTATCTGGACTGACTTCAACTGTGATCCTCTGGATTTCAGGCTTCTAAGTAGTGAGTATTACAGGTGTGAGTCACCAGTGCCCACCTTGTAGCATTATTTAATAGGGAAAATGAAAAATAATTTTATACAGAAAAATAAATAAATTATGGAATAGTCCATCTATAAAATCATGTCACTGATAAAAATCTATGTAAAAATTTAAAGGAGATGCAGAATAATATATAATATAATCCCCTTTAGGAAAAGAAACTATATTATGTACTGAGAAAGATCTCAAAGGCTCCATACTAACACTTCCTATGTAAGAATAGAAAGGTTTCTTTGCACAATGAATATGTAATATGTTTTAAAAGAACATTATATTGAGGTATGCTTGACATAAAACAACTGCACATATTTAAAGTGTCAAATTTGACATTTTATATACTAAAATCATGAGAATCAATTTCCTTTCACACTCCCAAATTTCCTTGGGTTTCTTTGTAATCCTTCCTGGGATTGCCCTTCTCTGGCTAATCTGTAGCAATCATTGATGACTTTCTGTCACTATATTGTATTTTCATAATGTAATATAAATGGAATCCTTTATTATGTACTCTTATTTATTTTTGTCGATTGTGGGGCTTGAACTCAGGGCCTGGACATTGTCCCTGAGCCTTCTTGTGCTCAAGGCTAGTGCTCTACCACTTCAGCCTCAGAGCCACTTCTGGGTTGTTGTTGGGTTTTTGTTTGTTTGTGTTTGAATGGTTAATTGGAAATAAGAGTCTCATGGGGACTTTTCTGGCCAGGCTGGCTTCAAACCACTATCCTCAGATCTGGCTAGGATTACAGGTATGAGCCACTGGCGCCCAGTCTATGTATTCTTCTTTATCTGCCTTATTTTACTTTGAAATTCATCCAGGCTGTTGTACATATCAATAATTCTTTGTCCTTTTTTTCTTTCTTTTCAGTATTTGGTCTGAATTCAGGGCCTTGAGCTTGCTATGCATTCCTCACTTCCATTTTTTCAGGACTTGAACTCAGGGCCTGTGTGCTGGTTCCTGAGCTATTCTGCTATTTTACCAGGTAAGCCAAAGTTCCACTTTCAACTTTTTTTGGTGGTTAATTGGAAATATGAATCTAGCAGACTCAGGGCTGACCTCGAACCACGATCCTCAAATCTCAGCCTTCTAAGTAACTAGTATTATACTAGTTATAGATAACTAGTATTCTCCCTTTTCACTTTATTTTTCAAAAGGGGTTTTGATTCTTGCCCTGGCAGTGTGGATGGTAATCCACCTGTTTAAGCTTCCCCCAAAGCTGAGGTGACAGGCAGGTACCTCCCAGCCCAGCTTTTTCTGTTGATATGTGGGCCATCTCATGATCTTTTATAAAATTTATTTTTTTTGGGGGGGGGTCCAGTCATGGGGCCTGAACTCTGGGCCTGGGCGCTATCCCTCAGCTCTTCAGCTCAAGGCTAGCGCTCTACCATTTGAGCCACAGCGCCACTTCCGGCTTTTTTCTTTTTGCTTATGTGGTGCTGAGGAATCGAACCCAGGGCCTCATGCATGCAAGGCAAGTGCTCTACCACTGAGCCACCTTCCCAGCCCCATGATCTTTTTTTTTTTCCTGGGAAGTTAGAATGGTTGGTACTTGATATGAAGTGGAGGAAAAAGGATGATGCCCCAGATTTAGTGAGCAGGCGATGGTAGTGCCATGGGAGGGGCAGTGGATTTGGTGGAAGTGGTCTTGTCCAGTTAGTTATGAGGTGCCTACTTGTCACAAAGATGAAGCATGAGGTTATCAGGAGTGCCGTCGTAAATATATGCGTCTGAGTAGGGATAAAGATTATCTGGCTCTGCACGCTCCCGGTCCGGGGCACAATCAATAGACTCTTAAGATGCACGCAATTCAATTTTATTATCTGCCTTCCCAGGAGGAGCCCAATACCACCACCACCACCACCACCAACCTTTGCGACTAGAAAACCCCGCCCAACTCGCCTCTGCGCAGAAGCCTCGCGCATGCGCACCACGCCTCCTGCCGCCGCGCCCTTCTCTGGGCATCAGGACTCCTACTCTCGGCCCTCCCCGCCCCGCCCCGCCCCGTCGGCTGCCGGTGACCTGCCTGGGCGCCGGGAACGGGAAACCGGAAGGGGCCACTGGAGTTCGCCATGGGGCTGTTTGGAAAAACACAAGAGAAGCCCCCCAAAGAGCTGGTAAGGCCCGTGGCGGCGGCAAGTGAGTGGGCGGACTGAGGGGGGGGCCGTTGCGGAGTTGGTAACCGGCTGGCGTCTCTTCCCTCCCTGGCTGGCCTGGTACCGCCCGGCCCCCATTTCCGGGGCCTCCCACTCGACCGAGGGGCCCGGACACGGAGTCTCTTGAGCGCTGGCGGTGGGGAGAGTGAGCGAAATCCCTCGGTACCCCGGCTTCCGAGGGGGTGCCGTGGACTGAGTGAGGAGTTGGGCGGCCTCCCCTTCCCAGGCTGAGGCGGCGAGGAACCGGGCCCCCTCTGCCCCGCACGCGATGGTACAGCCCGCCCGGAACCTTTCTCCAGCGGCGGCCCCGCCCCTCACGCGCCCGGCCGGAGCGCTGTGCCGGGGGCACTCACGGTCCTAGGACCCCGAGGCGCCTGGCTCTCCACTCCTCTGCGGAGGGAGGGAAGTGTTCTCTTCCTTCCCCTCTCCCAACCGACTTCTGTTCACCCCGGGGGCATACTGTTAGTTATCTGGGACCCGACCCAGAAGAACGCTGCCTTCGAAAGCAGCCCTGGACCCGGCTCTGAACTTTTAGATCTGCCCGTGTATTAACTTATGGTAGGAGGCAAGCTGTTTGAAGCACCTGCTCAAGAATCTGCCCGCCCAAGTTTTGACTCTCAGCTTTTGCGATCTCTTGAAAGTTAACTTCTTTCAGCCGTATTCTTACCAAGTAAGAATAATTTGTTTTACCTCAAGGTGATTGAAGACTAGAAGATATGAAGTTTAAACTAGTAGAGATGGCTAATTCTTTCCTTTTTTGGGGGGGTTGGTAGGGTGGGAGGAATGGTTGTACTGAGGATTGTACATGGGCACCAAGCTTGCTAGGCAAGCTATATTAACTTGAGCCACACCTCCCCCTCCACTCCCTTTTGTTTTGCTTGTAGTTATTTTTCAGTTTGGGGCTTGACTTTTTGGCTTTGGCAGGTCTGGAGTGGAGATATGCTACTACATCTAGGACTTATTTATTGAGATGAAGTCTTGAGCTTTGATGGAACTGGCTCCAATTGTCATCCACCTGATTTCTGCTGTCAGAGTAGCAGGGATTATAGTCACGATCCACCACCCCAGTCAGGAGAGGGGTAATAGTTCCTCAAGCACAGTCCAGCAGCATCAGCATTACCAGGAGCTTCTCGAAATTGTGTGTGCTCCGTGTGTGTGTGTTTGTGTATTGGTGTATTCATTGGTCCTGGGGCTTGAACTCAGGGCCTGAGAGATGTCACTGAGTTTTTGTTCTCAAGACTAGTACTCTACCACTTGAGCCACAGCCCCACTTTGGTTCACTAACTTTCCTGCCCAGGCTGGCTTTGAACCATGATCCTCATATCTAGCTAGGATTACAAGCATGAGCCACCTAGGCCTGGCTAGAATCAGATTTTGTGTTCAGACAATCCCTAGTATGTTTACTAGTGTTAGAGAAGCCATTCTGTACAACATCCAGACTTTTCTTACTGGAAAAGCACTAAAATACTTTCCTAGGTGACCTTGTTCAGCTCTGTAGGCTTACCGTAAAAACTGGTTTCATACATTAATTGCCATTTTCCTAGATAGGTTGTCCTATTGAAAAATTAAGTTGACATTATGTTCCCAGTAATTATATTTATCCTCTAAAAATTGCCAAGGTGTTACTACAGGTTATGTGTAGAGACCAGTTTAAACAGTAATGAGACACTTTCTTAAGACTCTTAGATTATCTTTGATTGGCAAAGCTAAGGTCACACACTGAAAGTAACAGCTTTCCCTACCCTTAAAGACATACTTCTACAATAACAAACATCTTAAAATGTACACATACCACAAAATGTGTCTACATAATGTTCTCCTCTTTGCAAAATGGTGTTAATACATCTTTTCTCATTTAATTTTGTATATTTTACTGGAGGCCACCATTTAGTAGATAAAACCACTTAAAGGATTTTAAACTAAGTATAGTGATATCCACCTGTAGTTCCAGCTACTCAGGAGAGTGAGCTCACAAGTTGGAGGACACTCTGGATTATATAAAGAGACCTTTAACTCAAAATAAAGGCTTTTAGGGTTCTTCCATCTAGTCTAGGTGTTACAGAGAGGAGCTCCTCAATCATGGATATGCATAAAACTTAGTAGGGATCTTGTCAGAATTCAAAATTGGATTCAGTAGGTCTGGGGTTGGGCTCTAGAGTTTAATAAGCTCCTAGGTTGTGTTGATGCTGCTGATTGGCTCTTGAGTAGCAAGTCTGTAGGGTTTTAAAAGACTAGTCAGGGCTGGGAAGGTGGCTCAGTAGTAGAGTGCTTGCCTCATATGCATGAGGTCCTGTGTTATTATTTCTCAGCACCACATAAGCAGTAAAAGCAGGAAGTGGTGCTGTGGCTCAAGTGGTAGAGTGCTAGCCTTGAGCTGAAGAGCCGAGGGACAGCGCCCAGGCCCAGAGTTCAGGCCTCTTGATCAGCCAAAAAAAAAAAAAAAAAAAAGACTAGTCAATCCTGCCTACTATTATTAGCTAAAACATGTTGACCTCAGCACTCTGCCAGTCTACTTACTCAGTGTTACAAGGTAGGACTCTAATGATCCTCACACTCCACATATAGAATTGAGGCCGAGAATTTGTCCAAGGTTTACAGTTTATAAGTTGTTTTTTTTTGTTTTTGTTTTTGTTGGTCATAGGACTTGAACTCTGGGCCTGGCCCTGTTCCTGAGCTCTTCAGCTCAAGGTAATCGCTTACAGTTTATAAATTTACAGAACAAGCAGTTATAATCTAGTAAGTTTTTTTCTTCCTCAAAAATTGGAACTCATTGCCCAGGCCCAGAGTTCAAGCCCCATGACCAAAAAAAAAAAAAAAATTGGAACTCATAACTCTCATGCCTTTTATGCTGCTTCCATTTCCAGTCTGGAATTGGATATTCTCTGTACAGCTACTAGAGTTCTTAGATTGAGGTGATAAAAGTTTGGACTCTATACTATTAACCAAGATTTTCTTTTAATTTCCATCTCAGCATGCCAGAGTATCTGTTCGGTTCTGGTTCATTCTTGCTTAAGTTTGTTGTAAAATACTTCAGCTTCTGCTAAATGGTAGGCTTTCTCTTACATTGTGTGACTGGGACCAGAGTGTTTTATTACCTGCCACATTTACTTAGCATTGAATTTGTAATGCCAGAAAGCACAGTAGAGCTAGCTAGGGTCAATTACTTTTTTCTTTGTGGAGCTATTGATACACAACACACAATACAACTACATGTGAATAAGAAGACAAATAATGTTTATTTAGCATCAATTCGTTTTAAAAAGGGGTTTTAACATGTCTATATGGGCATACAATGTACCTTGATCAGCTCTTCTCTGTTACTATCCCCATCACTCTCTTCCCTCGCTTTTTTTTGTTTAACATACATAATTTGTACTAGGAAGGGTTTGTTGTAACATTTGTACACCTCTATTCAATGTATCCCATTAGCTATCCTAATCAATTTTAACAGGTTTCATTATTCTGTTTTTCTACATACAAACTGTGTGGGCCATATTTATTTCACTCACCCTCTTTGTTAGCCTCATCCAACCTTATTTTAGTGTGTGTGTGTGTGTGTCTCTCTCTCTCTCTCTCTCTCTCTGTACCCATGTATGCTGGTACTGGGGCTTAAACTCAGGGCTTCTTGCTCACTTGAACCACATCTACCTTCTGCCTTTTCAGGGTTAATTGGAGATAAGAGTGTTGAGGATTTTTCTGCCATGGTTGGCTTCAAATCTTCACATCTCAGCCTTCTGCAGATGTAAGCCACTGGCTCTTGGATTGTTTTACTTTCTTGTCATTCTTTTTTTTTTTTGTCGTGGTACTTGAACACAGGTCCTGGGCGCTGACCTTGAGCCTCTTTTTGCACAAGGTGTGAGAAGAAGGAAGTCCCACCCCACACTGACTTCACCACCTGGGTGTGAAAAGTGCAGCTTGGTGGGCTGGCCACCGGATATAGAGAGGAGTTCGGGGAGGAGATATAGAGAGGGGGACACCTCTAATAACATGCGGCAAGGGACGGGCCTCCAGGAGCGGGCAGTGCCCTGGGAGGAGAACCGGGCTGACGCAGAGGCCCGGATGGAGAGGGGCAGTGCCCTGGGAAGAGAACTGGGCTGATGCAGAGGCCCGGATGGAGAGGTGCACACAGAGCCTAGAGGCCTGTGGAAAGGCCTGTGAAGAACTGAGAGGCCCATGGGGAGCAGAGAGCCTGCAGAGATTGAAGAGGCGGAGAGAGCTGTGAAGAGCAGAAAGGCCTGCATAGAGGCCACAGGCCTGTGGATGGCCAGCCTGCGGAAGGTCTGTGGGAAGAAGGAAAAAGGAAAAACTTGCTCCCTTGGAAGTTGCAGCTGCTTCTAGTTCTGAGTAACCCAGAACAGAGTTGCACACCAACTAATAAATCAACTTTATTACCCTTTAACCGTGCCTCCGTGGATTTTCTCGCTCAAGGGTTATTACAAAGGTTAGCACTCTACCATTTGAGCCACAACTTCACTTCTAGTTTTTGAGTGGTTAATTGGAGATGAGTCTCATAGGAAATTTTCTGCCCAGGCTAGCTTTGAACTCTGATCCTCAGATCCCAGCCTCCTGAGTAGCTAGGTTACAGGTGTGACAACTGGCTCTTGGCTCATTTATTTCTTAAAATGTATGTATTACAATTTGGTATTACCTTTTTTATTTTTATTTTTGGTCAGTTTTGGGCTTGAACTCTGGGCCTGGAAGCTGTCCCTGAGCTCTTCAGCTCAAGGTGAGCAATCTACCACTTGAGCCACAGTGCCACTTCCAGTTTTCTGGTGGTTAATTGGAGCTAAGAGTTTCTCGCCCGGGTTGGTTTTGAACCTCGATCTTCAGATCTCAGCCTCCTGAATAGGATTACATACATGAGCCACCGGTGTCCAGCAATTTGGCATTTTCTTAAAGATAGAAAACAAAATAAAATATTCAGCTTCATAAGAGAAGCTAAATACAGGGGAAAAATTAAA